ACAGACCTCTGACCATTTACCACCATACGATTATGGTTATTTCTTTCTCTTGAGGAAGGATATGTTAGGTAGTAAGTCAGAAATTTAGCCTATGTGCGTGTGAGAAAGGCCTGAAGACCAGAACCCACTGCAGAGGCTCCAGCAGCCCAGCATCTTGCACTTCAAAGTCCTGCCCAGACCCTGATAACCCCCCAGGTGGTCCCAGCCCTTCCCCCAAGGAAAGCTCCCAGGAGAATTCTCTCTCCTCAGGACCAAAGAGGTTACCTGACCTGATAACATGGGGCAATAAAGCCTTCTCAGATGCCCTAAGTGAAGTCCCTCTGCACTGCCCAGGTGCCAGCAACTCTGGGGAGGAATTTGCTAATTTTCACCCAACAATTCCTTCTGCCAGGATTCTCCACCCTTTGTCCTGGAGGAGAGGGGGAGCTGGGTAAACAGACTCCCTTAAAAACCTAGGGAGTCCAAAGAGACTGTGGCTCAGCCTCTGCCTCTCTGCTGAGGCCCCGGCTGGCCTGCCCAGGTGCATTCTCTCCACTCAACCATGTAACTTCCCTTTCCCCTCAGACCAAACGACTACACACTCTCTCTATCCCTTCTGTTCTGACGGATGCCCTATACCCAAAAAAGCCTTATCACTCTGCAAAAAAAAGTCTGTGTTTTTGCTGTGCAAAAACAGAGTTTAGAGTCACATATGCCTATGGAACACAGATCATGTAGCCACTGTAATGAGGACTTATGATTATAATGAATTGACTTACTTTTTTTTTTAGCATTGAGCTCTGCTGTTTACCTTTAGACATTGACAGCTGCAACACCACCAAGACAGAGAAGACACTAAACGGTTATTTTTAAAAATATATTTTTAATTTATTTAAAAGGCAGAGTTACAGAGAGGAAGAGGAGGAGGATGAAGTGGAGGAGAGGAGGAAGAGGAGAGAGAGAGAGAGAGAGAGAGAGAGAGAGAGAGATAGGAATCAATCCTATTCAGATTATGGTGGGGTTTTCTGCCCTCTAGTGGCAGTTGTGTAATTTAGCAACGTACAGGATTGTAGAGGCTGCATCCCAGTGAGTCCTGGCTGAGTCCTTCAGGGTGCTCATGCTGCTCACCGTGTTAGATTCCTCACCAGGACACATCTGTAGGGAACACAGTGATCCCTCGTCTCTGTGATCAGTCACTCAGCTGAGGACAGGGAGATGGGTCAGAAAGCAACAGGAATGGTTCTTTTGATTGATGTGAGATGTCATGACATGGACTTGGATAAAAAATATATTCCATCCCCGGTTCACTCACCGCATGGCTGCAACAGCAGGGGCTGGGCCAAGTTGAAGAAAGAGCCAGGACTACACCCTGGTCTCCCACATTGCTGGCAGGAGGTCAGATAAACAGCCCTCACTCCCTGCCTCCCGGGCACATTAGCAGGGAGCAGGAGCAGCAATGCAGGAACCAGATGGCCGTCTGGGCGCACAGTGGGTTCACCTCTGTCTGTGGTGCAGGCACCCTTGTGAGCTTTGGTTCCAGCACACGCTGCTCTAGTTCTGATCCTACTCACCGCTAATGTGCTACCAGGAGTTGTCGCAAGTACTTGGGTCACGGCCACCTGCGAAGGAGAACTTGATGGAATTCCAGGGTCCTGGCTTCAGCCTGGCCCAGTCCTGTCCGTGGCAGCTGTGTAGGGATTGAACCAGCAGATGGATGAGATCTCTCTCTCTCTCTCTCTCTCTCTCTTTTTCTCTCTCTCTCTCTCTCTCTCTCTCTCACACACACACACCCTCACTCTCTCTAAAATAAGTAAAATCAGGATTTAAAAAAGAAAGGAAGAAAAGAAACACAGTGGGCAGTGCTCACACCAGCACTCTGAAATGGGATGCAGGCTCACCAAGCTGCAACTTAATCTGCCGAGCCACGTTTTCTGCCAAAAAAGCCACCTTTTCTCTTTCACAGGGGTAGCCTCTAATTCTAGATCTTACTTGTCTCTGGTTTCCCTGGTGCCTTATGAAATCTCTAGGTATTGAACAACAAGCTTGTGTCAGCAAAAGATGAGACGGGATTCATGGATGCTTTCATCACCCAACACCAAGAAGCAGCCAGCCCGAAAGAACAGTAGGACGTGGTGGTGGAGACGTGATTACACTGCAAGTTCAGGTAACGATCAGTTTTGACCCCCGTGTTCTCACAGCTGAAATATGAATGTCCAAGAATCAAAGAGTAGAAGCAGAAGTAACTTCTAGGATTAGCGCACCTGCAAGAGATTGATTTCCTGTCTTTGCAAGTTCGAGATCTGTGTTTCATGAATCACAGAGCAGTACTGCTTATATCATGAAACACAGCAGTGATTACACTGAACCGAAGGAAGCAACTGTAACGTGGCTATTCATGACGCGAGAACAGCAGAAAGCTAAGATTATTATTCTACTGTGTTGGGTGGTGGATGTCTGGGTATCAAGGGAAATAGAGCAGCTGCTGCGACCTGTAGGCAGGCCCATCACACTTGATCTTTGCACGTTTCCTGAGTGCCTCAGTATTTTACTATCAGTGGCCAATTTTAAGGATGACTACAGCCAAAGGACTCATGTCAATTTCCCAATATCTTAATCTTTTGAGATATAGAAAATTTGGAAACCAGAAAAGACATAGAATGTAAAAAAAAAAAAAAAAGTGGTCCTGTTTAAGAAATAAAAAAAAATGGCAGTGGAAAGTGGAAACTAGAATTTTGTTTCTAAAAAGATTTTATTGTTTTATTTTAGAAGTAGAGTTACAGATAGAGAGAGGGGGAGAAAGAGAGAGAGATCTTCCATCCACTGGTTCACTCCCCAATTGGCCACAATGTCCAGAGCTGCGCTGGTCTGAAGCCAGGAGCCAGGAGCCAGGAGCCAGGAGCTTCTCCCAGGTCTCCCACACAGGTGCAGGGGCCCCAGGACTTGGGACATCTTCCAGTGCTTTCCCAGGTCATAGCAGAGAGCTGGATTGGAAGTGGAGCAGCCGGGTCTTGAACCGGTGCCCATATGAGATGCTGGCACTGCAGGCGATGGCTTTAGCTGCTACGCCACATTGCCAGCCCTCAGGTAAAGTAATTTTGAAATAATATTTACATAAATAAGAATTTGTGGACAATAATTTATCAAATTATCAAATATGAATGAATAGGTACATTATATATGCATGTTATACATATTTTGCTGAATAAAGTAATGTTTGTACTCATGTTCTTTTTATATTTCTTAAGATTTATTTATTTATTTGAAAGAAAGAGTTACAGAGAGATATTGATGGCAAATGTCCTGAGAGCTGGACTGGCATGTCTGGCATTAGCAGCAGTGTGGTGTCTAGGAATCTGGGCCTGTTCAGGGCGATGGGTGATTCATCTTCATGGGCCTTCTGTGTGTCTGTGTTCTGCTCTCTCAAACCTTGAAAACTGGGCAGGCCAAAGCACATATTATTGGGCTAGCTGTGGGCTCAGTGTGTGGCCTTTGCTTTAAAGGTCGTCTTACCTCTGTGGGCAGCTAGGGATGCCATTCATTTATCTGGAAAATATTTACTGGGTTGTTCTTATTTTGGATCAGGGAGTGGTGAGTTGAAGAAGGTGAAGCCCCGGTTCTCACAGTCAAGTCGGTATCGAATGGTGTAAAATCTACTTCATTGTCCCTAAGATTTTCTTCTGTGTTCCTTGGTCTTCCTGATGGCAGACGTGAGGTGATTTAGCTGGTCAGCAGTAGGGGCAGGCCTGAATCCAGGTCTGCTGATTCTGTGTCCAGGGCTTGCTCCACTCCATCACCCTGTCAAATTAAGTAGAATTTCTCTTTAAGTGTTAGGTTGAGTGGATTTGGGGTTCCTGTATCTGATCTTAGTTCCCCAGTTGAGATTCTGTCTTGATCCTGTACTCTTTCTTTTTTCCCGTCCTCAGAGGCTGTTTGACGCAGGAGAAGATCGTGGCAGGGTACGCCAGTCACTTCATCGTGATCGCTGACTTCAGGTAAGTGCCCAGTGTTTTGAACTGTCTGCTGGGAAATAGAGTGCACAAAGAGGAACTTGTGGTGAAATAGAGACTCTGTGACTTTCTGAGACTGATTGCTAGGACTAAGGTCTTTTTTTTAAAGCTTTTTTTATTTATTTGAAAGGCAGAGTTACAGAGAGGCAGCGGCAGAGAGAGAGAGAGAGAGGTCTTCATCTGCTGGTTCACTCCCCAGATGGCTGCAATGGCCAGAGCTGCACCAACCCAAAGCCAGTAGCCAGAAGCTTCTTCTGGGCCTCCCATGTGGGTGCAGGAGCCCAAGCACTTGGGCCATCTTCCACTGCTCTCCCAGGCCATAGCAGAGAGCTGGATTGGAAGTGGAGTGGCTGAGACTCGAGCTAGCGCCACATGGGATGCCGGCACTGCAGGCGGTGGCTTTACTGGCTACACCACAGTGCCAGCCCCATGATCACAGCATTCTTAAGCTGAGTGGGGATCTCCTGTGCTGGTCCTTATGTCCATGAGATAGGGAAGGAAACAGCTTGTCAACCCTACTAGCAGAGCAGGTATTCAGGTGTCACTCATCCAATTGTCACAGGGAATCTCTAAGAAGCAGGCCGTGTTCTGCCCATGGGCAGTGACTCAGTGTGCCCTGCCTCCTGCAGAATGTGCCACACATGACTTGTGTTGCAGACGGTCTTCAACCAGGCTCCCAGAGTCTCCTTCAAGGAGTCTGGCTAAGGCATGTGTGCCTGTGTGTGTGTGTGTGTGTGTGTGTGAGAGAGAGAGAGAGAGATTATAGGAATTTTATAGCAGCTGTAGAAAAAGCATAAATAATAAAAATCTGTATGTCCACAAGCCAGTTATATAAAATTCTAACATTTTTGTGATATTTGTTTCAAATATTTCTTTTCCACAGTGGAACAGCCAGTGTGTGTGAAGCCCTGTGTATACTGGTCCCATCACTTTCTTTCCCTCCCCAGCATCGAATTAACCCCATTTGTGAATGAGGTCTTTGTTTGAACCATTGAGCTTATTACTTTCTGCTGCTCGTCACAGGGCAGCAGGTCCAATAGAGCTCCTCAGGGCCAGCCTGGGGAGCTCAGGGGCCGAGCGGGATGATGAGTGTCGGCGGCAAAGGAACCACACCAGAGCCGGGAGATCAGTCAACGCCCAGGGCGCAGCCGGGTTCTCGACTTTATTGGGAGGGGAAGAGCTTTTATAGACACAGAAAGGGGGCTGTCCAGGGCGCAAGGGAACCGAGCCAACCAGCTGAAAGGTAAGGCAGGACACGAGCCGGGCACGCCCTCAAGGGCCTATCACAGCCGAGGACACATACTGTTCACGAATACGGAAGTCTTCTGTCAGGCTAGGTACCTCCCCTGGGGGCCATCTTGGATTGTTGGAAACGCTGAGTCACTGGGATGCGGAAGTGCGGCAAACTCGCGCAAAGGCTTAGCGGCCTTGTGGAGTGGAGGCTTAGCAACTTTGTTTCCTTTTTGATTGGAGCCCCCCCTGCAACTTTCATGGTACTTCTTGACTCTTCACAGGAAAGATTCAAAGAATCTCGGATATCAGAGGCATAAGGGAATCCCCATTGAGGTCTTCCCAATGGCTTATGTCCCAGTGAGCCGAGCAGTGACCTGGAAGTTTGGGGGCGAGGTTCAGCTTCAAATGGCTGTGCACAAGGCGGTAAGTGGCCGGGGTGGGGGTGGGGGGTGTGCAGAGGGCACTCCAGTCTGTGTTACCCTCCTCTCTGCTCCTGTTAGGTTCTCTGTGCCTTGACCAGGCAGTCGGCTTTTTACTTATTTTTAACCGTTTGTTTATTTTTAGAGAGTTGGCTTTATTCGTTTCTGTAATCAATCACATGAAGATAAGACTATACCCAATATAGTGGACATCTCATGTATAGATGGGGGATGAATCTTTCTTTCTGTCTCTTGGAATATTACATTCTTTGGGTGATCTGACCTTTGTACTGGAAGCCCCTCCCCACTGCTTAACAGCTGCCGACCAAGGTTTGGGACAGACTTTAGGTTCCATGTACAATTTTCTTTTTAAGAAAAGAAAAAAGATTATTTATTTGATAGGCAGAGTGATGGGGAGAAGAGGAAGCAAAGAGAGAGACTGAGGTCTTCTTCTACTTCCATTCTCAAATGGCTGCAGTGGTGGGCTAGTCAGGGCCAAAGCCAGAAACCCGACACTCCATCTGGCTCTCCCACATGGGTAGTGGGGGCTCAAGCACTTGGGCCATCATCTGCTGTTTTCCCAGGCACGTTAGCAGGGAGCTGGATCAGAAGCAAAGCAGCCAGGACTTGAACCAGCACTCTGATATGGGTTACTGGTGTTGGTGTTGGAAGCAGAGGCTTAACCAGCTGTACCATAGCACCGATTACATGCATAATACATGCAAGGAGAAAATCCTTGCTGCTCTCATCCTGTGTATAAATATGACAAGATGTGGAATTTTAGCAGGGGATGAGGGATGAGGACTCCTTCATAGTAGTCTACTCCAGACACTTTAGTCCAAATGTTTCCCCTTGGCTTTTCAATGGGTTGGATGCAAAGAGCTTTTTTTCTCTTACATGTAAACAAGCAAAAGAAATGATTCAACCTAACTATACTTATAGTCTATATAGCAATTTATATGCTAAATAAAAAGTTTACGAGATATAAAGAAGAAACAAAATGATCCGTGACTAAACTCTGGCACAATTTTGATTTAAGGTGTTTGCTTTTCAGTGTGTTCGACTTAAAAAAAAAACCTAGTCCTAACCACAGTGGGTTTTCCCAGGCTGTGACTGATGTTTTGTGGCTCGCTTTAGCTGAAGGGCCAGAGCAGGTTGTAGGATTGTTTATAGATGGTTTACTCCAGGCAAGAGCCTTAGCTCCCTGCCTTCATGGAGTTGTGTGTGTGTGTGTTTTCAATTTTTTAAAAAACATTATTTATTTGAAAGGTAGAGAGACTGACAGAGAGATCTCCCATCTACTGGTTTACTCCCCAAGAGCCCACAAAAGCTAGGGCTGAGCCAGGCTGAAGCCAGGAGCCAGAAACTCAATGCAGGTCTCACAAATACTTAGGAGGCGGAGAGCCATCACTTTCGCTACCTCCCTGGGCGTGGATTCACAGGAAGCTGGAATCAGGCAGAATCCAGGCACTCTGATATGGCATGTGGGTGTCCCAAGAGGTGTCTTAGCCACCTCTAATGCCTGCCCCCAGAGTTCTTACTCAGCTCCTACCGCTTCTCCTCTAGTCTGGAGGGGAGCCCTAGAATCCCTGCCCTTGACCATGGTGTCTGTCAACATTGGTGTTCCTAAACACTCCTTCTGCTTTTCTAGTATTCAGAGCTATTGGGGAGTTCTGGACTAATGGAAGTAAGCCTACCCCTGCCTGTCCAACTTCAGAGCCTATTGCTGCTCATGTTGGGCAGTGTTGGTGATCTGTTCTGTGGTGACTTTTCAGCATAGTGACAGCTGACTTATTGAGCCCTCACTGTGAGCCCTCATTGTGGTAAATACTTATACACATCATTTATATATATAAGCTGCTTTAATGAAGTATCATATGCTTGAGTTTTGTAGTTTAGACACTTGAAACTCACAGAAGTTAATGGCTCCCCTCAGTTTTATAGCTGTATGATGTTAAAACTCATATCCAAAGTCCTACTCACTCCAAAGCTCTTACTCAGTACTTCCCAGCATGCTTTCTAGAAAGCTCGTTGGAGCTGGTTAATTTGTTTTTTATTTTTTAAATATTTTTATTTTATTTCTTTGAAAGCCAGAGTTACACAGAGAGAGGAGAGGCAGAGAGAGAGAGAGAGAGAGAGAGAGAGAGAGAGAGAGAGAAATCTTCCATCTGATAGTTCACTCCCCAGTTGGCCACAACACCTGGAGCTATGCTGATCTGAAGCCAGGAGCCAGAAGCTTCTTCTGGGTCTCCCGTGTGGGTGCAGGGGCCCAAGGACTTGAATCATCTTCTACTGCTTTCCCAGGCCATAGCAGAGAGCTGGATCGGAAGTGGAGCAGCCAGGACTCGAACCGGTGCCCATATAGGATGCCGGTGTGTCAGGTGAGGGCGTTAACCCACTGCACCACAGCACCAGCCCCATGGAGCTGGTTAATGTGGATTCTTGTCTTTGGTTATTATTTCTTGCTTCCTGTACTTTCGCTGCCTATCTGTGCCTACTTCTTTAGTCAATATGGAAAATTATCTCCTAGGGTCCTGTGGTGACAGATAATGGGAATTTTATCCTGGACTGGAAGTTTGACTGTGCACACAAATGGAGTGAAGTGAACATTGCTATCAAGATGATCCTAAGTAATGTGAGTAGCGTTTACTGGGCAGAGTCACCGTGCCCTTTGTCACTGTCCCTTCATTGGCCGCAGAAGGCATGATGGACGTGGGCTTTGAAGGACCTGGTTGGGAAGAAGAACTTGGTTTCTTTTCATGGTGTCCGGGCTTTCCAGCGTGGGTTCCTTTATCTTCTCCCCAGGAATGACTGATGCATAACTAGCAGCTTGGTGCTTGTCTCTCGCAGCCGTGGGGGTTGGGACAGCCCTGGAGCTGATGGAAGGTCAGAGGGCCACCATCTCTGGGCAGAGTCTTGCCTGCCAGGAGCTGACTGAACCTGCGCTGGTTTTTCTGGGCTGTCTTCTTAAGTAGTGGGGAAATTGACTAAGTGTACCTACGGCCATTGGATACATGCCACGGGCAAGATCCTGAGCTCCGTGCTACAGAGGAGGCTCCGAGCAGAAGAACATGGACGGAATCTGTGCCCAGTAAACCTGGGAAAGCTCTGTGTGGCTGTGTGGAGTCCTTGCCTACAGACAAGACGGAGTGGCCTAAATTCTGCTCGGGGAATTCCAAGAGCACACAGAGCTGCTTCTTTGGGGGAATGTGAGAAACTTTGGTGACGTGGAGGTTTCTGGTGTAGATGGTAGGCCTGTGTCTTAGCACAGCGTCACCTAGACAGTGCTGAGTGTCTAAGAAAGTTTCACTTTATACCCACGATGATGAGGCAGCTCTAGAGGAGGACACAGGCTGAGGAACGTTATGCAGTTTAACCAGCAGCTGCAGCACCCAGATGGGAGTCCTTTGTTGTCTGCCCTGGTCCCTGAGCTTTAATCTCTACTTGCTCAAGTGCCAGGCTAAGGAGAGGTTGTGTGACCCAAACGGTGAGAGCAGTGGGGGCCTCTCACGCAGCTTGTGCCTGGGAGTGGTGGGGTGGAGCAGGGGGGCTCAGGGTGAAGGCAGGTGGGCAGGGTAGAGATGGGTTTTGAAGCCTTAGCCTCAGTGCCCAGAGGAGAAACTGAGGGCGCTCGTACGGGGGATTGGAAGGAGACGAGGCGTGGGAGGTATCAGTCCCTAGGAGTCTAACTGGGAGTTTTCCATGTCAGGGAATATTCTTGAGCCAGAACTGACTTAGGAGGCAGACAGGCCAACTTAGTAGAAAAGGCCAACTTAGTGGCTCAGAGCAGCTGCCTGGGTTCGGATCCTCATCCTGCCACGCTCTAGCACTGTGAACTGAGCAGTTAGTGGACATTTTCTGTGCCTGAGATCCTCCTTGGTAAAAGGGGCTGATACAGGGCTGTTGGGAGGATTGATGTGTTGATTGAATGAACCCTGGGAAGAAAGGGCACCACGTCTTCAGCATTAGTTGGGTGTGTGGATTCTCAGTCATCCACGCTAGCTGGAAATGGAGATGGTGTGACTGTGTGCCATGTAATAAAGAGCCGATTCTTCCAACTCTGCTTTAGTTATCTTGTCTTCTGCTGACAGTCTGCTACAAGGTTTTTGAGTCAGAAAGATGAGTTGAACTCTACTCATTCTCTTGCTTAATGCTGCCTTCAATGGAAGAATTAAAGAACCGAGAAGGCAGGAGGGAGAGAAGACACAGACACTGCTGTTAGTAAACTAGGGGAATTTGCCTACGATGATAATGCAGACAAATGCGGGGGCCCAGGTGGGAAATGGCTTATCCATGTCGGTGCTGTTTTTCTCTAAGGTAGGTTTCTTGCAATGTCCACTAGGGGGCTCTGTTGCACTTTTTCAGACTTTTCTTGGCTGATGGAGCCACTGAGGTGTCCCTTGTCGGGGAGTTTTCCTCCTGTTTGTTAGAAGCTACATTTAGAGAAGCTCAGAGTTTTATTAGGAACCTGGAGTGAGGAAAATGTAAAAAGAGGTTAGCTGTCACGTCAGATAACATGGTATCAGCAGGGCCAAAGCTGTTTTGGGTTCTTCCCTCCTTGTTCACCTTAGCATCCTCTGATCTTCCACTGTATTTTATCTGAGGTGGGAGAGGCATCAGTCTTTACCAGCAATTTTTAAAATTTATTAATTTATTTGAAAGAGTTACACAGAGAGGAGGGAGGGAGAGAGCACAATCTGTTGGTTCACTCCCCAGATGGCTGCAATGGCTGGGGCTGGGCCAGGCTGATGCCAGGAGCCAGGAACTTTTTCCAGGTCCCCCATGTGAGTGCAGGGGCCCAGGCATTTGGGCCATCCTCTGCTGCTTTCCCAGGCATATTAGCAGGGAGCTGGATTGAAAGTAGAGCAGGGGCCTGTGCTGTGGCGTAGTGGGTAAAGCCACCGCCTGCAGTGCCAGCATTCCATATGGGTGCCGGCTGAGTCCCAACTACTCCACTTACAATCCAGCTCTCTGCTATGGCCTGGGAAAGCAGTAGAAGATGATCCAAGTCCTTGGGCCCCTGCACCCACATGGGAGACCCAGAAGAAGCTAATGGCTCCTGGTTTCAGACTGGCCGTTGTGGCCATCTGGGAAGTGAACCGGCAGAGGGAAGATCTCTCCCTCCCTCTCTCTCTGCCTCTGCCTATCTGCAGTTCTGCCTTTTAAATTAAAAAAAAAAAAAAAATCTTAAAAAAGAAAAAAAGTGGAGCAGATGGGACTTGAACCTTTATCCATATGGGATGTTGGCGCTGCATCTGGTGGCTTAACCCGCTACAACACAGTACCGGTCCTATCTCTTGTGTTTTTTTTTTTTTTTTTTTTTTAAGATTTATGCTTTTATTTGAAAGGCAGAATTACAGAGAGAGAGAGAGAGAGAAAGAGAAATCTTCCATCTGCTGGTTCACTCCCTAAATGGCTGCAATGGCCAGAGCTGGGCAGATCTGAAGCTAGGAGCCAAGAGTGTCTTCCAGGTCTCCCACATGAGTGCAGGGGCTCAAGCACTTGGGCCATCTTCTGCTGCTTTCCCAGGCACAGTAGTAGGGAGCTGGCTCAGACATGGAGTAGCCAGGACTGGAACTGGCACTGCAGGTGGCAGCTTAACCCACTACTACTGCGCCGGCCCCTCTGCACTTTCTTTACGGCCTTTTCTCCACATGATCTGACTTTCCTGGATCAGAACGGTTTGAGAAGGGTGGATCTCCAGTGGCTGCTTTGCTTATACTTGGGAGGCCCTGGTTGTGGAGGCACAGTTTGGTGCCAGGGACTTTGTGTTTTGGTGGCTCACTGCTCCTTTTTATTTGTTTATGGTTGGCTATTTTTTAAATCTTTTTGAAATTATGTAGTTCAAATGAGTAAATAGTGGCAAGTTTCCTTCCCCATTTCCCAACTAACTAGTTACCATATCTGGAGGCAGCCAATGTTAGAAAAAAGTCGTGTGGCCTTTCAAAAAATTTTATTTTGTATATATGTACTTACGGATTTTCATTTTATTTGAAAGGCAAAGAAACAGGGGTGGGGTCGGAGAAGAGAGACAGAGGTCTTCCTTCTGCTGGTTCACTCCCCAAATTACTCACAAGAGCTGGGCTGGGCCAGGCAGAAGCCAGGACCTGGGAAGTTAGTCTGGGTCTTCCAAATGGGTGACAGAGTGAAGTCCTTTAGCCATCACCAGGGTGTGCATGAAGGAAGCAGGGGTTAGAAGTGGAGCTACAGCCCGGGCACTCCACTAAGGGATGTTGGGGTTCCAGGTGCTGCTTCACCTGCAGTTCCATGGCACCCACCACTGCCTTTCCACAGTGACCGCATACTTTAATATGTGTTCTGTCCCTGCCTTTCTGTCTTGGGGATCATTACATGCTGGCTCACAGAAGAGCTTCCTCGTTCTTTCCTCTTTTAAAAATAACTCTGCTATTCATTTTATGGCTGTATCCAGAACACTTAACTGGATCCCATCCAGTGGACATTTATGTTTCCAGTGCTTTGCTGGAAGGGAATTACTGGATCAGAGGACAAGCAAGCATGTCTGATTTTGCTAGATGGTGCTGGCCTGCCTTCTGTGGGCTGTACTCATTGGTTCTACCACCAGCATATGCAGGTACCTGATTCCCAACAGATCAAGTTTACCAAATGTTTTTTCTCTTAATGTTATCTCATGTGTATGTGTGTGAACATACAAATATTGGTAAAGATCATGCGTGGTTGTACAGCTGTCCCTTGACATCCCTTGAGGCTTGGTTCCAGGATTCTCTGTGGATACCACAATCCGAGGGTGTGCTAGTTCCTTACATAAAATGGGGTACATAACCTGTGCATATCCTCCTGTGTACCTTAAGTCATCTCTGGCTTACTTAGAATACCTAATGCAATATGAATGTTATGTAAATCACAAATCGCTGTTATGCTCTAGTGTTTAGGAAGTAATGACAAAAAGGTCTGTCCCTGTTCAATATAGATACAATTTTATTTTTTCAAATATCTTTGAGCTGTGTTTGGTTGACTCAGTGAATATGAAATCCACAGATGCAGAGAGCTGACTGTGGTTAATTCTCATTGCTGAATAGTGTCCCATCGTCTGTGTGCGTGTGAGAGAGAAATATGTTTGTATTCCTGATGGGCATTTGACTCTTCTGCTTTCAGTTATTGGGAAAGTATGGCTGTGAACATCTTATAGATGTATTTTCATGGCCATATGTATGTCTGACAGTTGTATATCTAGAAGTAAAATTGCTGAGTAGTTAAGTATGAATTTGTGCAACTTTACAAGATGGACTAATCAAACATTCTCCACAGTGTTCTTGCCAGTTTACCGTCCATCATCAGTGTGAGAACATTTTTGCATCCTAGCCACGTTTCATCATTAAACTCATTTTTGTGTAGTGATAGTTTGTAAATACAATTTGTAACTAATGAATTTGAGCACCTTTTCAGTGTTTATTAACTATTTGGTGTGTGTGTGTGTGTGTGTGTGTGTATTTATTTACTTGAGAGAGAAATGTCTTGCATCAGCTGGCACAGTCCCCAAATGCCTGCAAATGGCTTGACAGGACCAGGCTGAAGCCAGGGGCCAGGAGCTCCATCCGGGTTTCCACGAGGGTGATGGAAATCCAAGTGCTTGGGCCATCTGCTGCTGCCTTCCAGGGTGCATTAGCAAGGAACTGGACTGGAAGTGGAACAGCTGATACTCAAACCAGTGCTCCGGTGTGGGATGCCAGCAATTGCAAGCGTAGTTTAGCCCACTGTGCCACCATCCCAGCCCCTTTTGTGAAATACCTGTTCAGATCTTTGGCCCATTTTCCATTAGGTTGTGTGCTATTTTAATACTTTGTGGAGTTGTTTATATATTTTGATGTGGGTCCTTTGTTAGATATTCGCCTTGAAAATGTCTCTTTCCACTCTGAAGAAATCCTGCAAGGCCAGTAGTGAAGCTAAAAATAGCTAGGAGTGGGGGCTGCTGGGACTAGTCCTGGAGAGTTTGTCCAGAAGTCAGCCTGTCATCTGTGGTGTTGGAGACATGGAGAAGTCCTTCCTAGAAGCGCTTGACTGGTTCAGGCAAAGGGAATGCATCAGCAGAGGCCTCGAGGAGTGACAAAGCTTGGCCTTGGGTACGGAAGGAAAGCCAAGAGAAGGGGGGAGAAAGAGGTGACAAGAAGCTTCACAGACAATCAGAATCTTCATTGCTGTGTGGGAGAGGAAGCTTTGGCTGTCATTTGTCCAGTGCTGCCTGTGCCGGTTGCTTCCGGTGACCCCAGGACCCGATCCTCTTGCCTTGGGAAGCTGGCACTCACTGCTTCTTTCCGTGCTTTGTCCTTCAGGCGTGGTGGACACAGGCCTGTTCATCAACATGGTGGAGAGAGTCTACTTCGGGATGCAGGACGGCTCCGTGACCGTGCGGGAGAAGCCCTTCTGTTGACCCCACGAGGAGCAGATGTGTTCACCTTGGTCTCCAGCCCACAGCCAGGGTGGCCGTGCCTGTCCAGGAGCTTTTGCCTTAATGTATGGGGGGGTGGGGTGGGGTGGGGTCTAAGCCCAGTCCTCTGCAGTATTGTTACTATGTGTCTTTTTAAACAGAGAAATTTAAAGATTTATATTTTTTACTATGAAAAATATTGTTTTTTTTATAAAGTAGAACTTGATTTCATGTTTTATATGAAACATTTACCAAAAAAAGAAAGAAGAATAGAGCAAGAAGGGGGAGACTGTCTTTAAAACCTTTGACTTGAGCCTGCTGGGTTTGCTGAGAAATGAATATCAGAGCTTTTCTTGAAGCCGGTCACATGAAGGACCTGGCCAGCAGTGATCTCCTGATGCCTTACAGCATGCTTGGTTTACTTTTCTGCCACTCTCTTGTGTTTTTAGTTCGTCCTCATTGTAATCACGCACAATGCAGTTACTTCTGAAGATGAGGTTTACAAAGTCCGCTGAGTGGAACAGTGTGATGTGTAGTGTTGGGATTGGAATGTAAACCCCCGGGGCAAATGCGGTGGCACCTTCGCTAAGATCAGGGCTTTGTTCAGATCCCTGTTGTTGGAAGCAGTTGGCCGGAAATACTTGCCAGTGCTGCCAGGGCACTGCTGTGAAATGTGAAATAGTTGTTTTTTTAAATCATTTTCTTTTTGTTGTTACTTATTTTTCTGTTGCTTTATTATTACTGGCATGGTTTGGCATCAGATGTCATCACCTCTTTATGTTCTTTGAAGGTTGGAATAAACAGTGTGGTGCCATTTTGACTCTTGGTCTTCTCTACAGAATTGGTTGGGAAATGGGGATCAGTATGGCTGATATTTGATAACGGGTGGAATTCACTGGAGAAATCTTGAGCCGAAGAATACTTCCTTTATTTCTGGGAGAGCTTGCTTCAGTTGCCTAAGGAAATGCTTGTTCCATAGACTTCTAACAGTTAAACAAAGTCAAAATTCTCAGTTTTATATAAATCAAAGCTTTGTTAGTTGTGAAAGCTGATAAGCCACAGAATAGGTAACCTGAAGTTCCTTTGTAGTGCCCCCACCCTGTGAGCTCAGACATCTGCCTGACAAGCAGTGAGCTGCCCAGAAAACAGTGTCATGGGCGCAGCTCGGCGATAGCTCTAGGGCCTCCCTCAGAGGAACTGCTCTGTTGCCAAAGGCTTTCTGCTGAGAGCCTGGCTCCTCTGTGCTAACTTTGCACGATGCTTGCACAGTCATTCCCCCTGTTTTCCGCCTGTTTTGAAGCTTGAACTGTTACTAAATTCCTGCTGAATCACGTTGCAGAATAAAAGTTAATCAGGACTGACTGAGCATCAGAGACTTCTTGTTCCTTGCCACATTCCTTTGTTTTTGCACTCCCAATGTGCTCTTCAAAATGTCTCATCCTGTGTTAGGAAACCTGCTGTTAGGAGTGCATTGTTTTTCTTTCAGACTGCCTTTGGTAGGGCAATAATTTTTGCACAAAACAGGTATTAGATCTTAGTCGAACACTTGGTAGAGCAAATTTTTTACATAATCCTTTGAAACTTTTGTGGCATGGATTTAATTCAGGGATGAAGATGAAGTTGAACTGGGTTTGTGAAAAACACCTGCATGCTTCATATCACATGTAAATTTTCTGCTGGTTTTGTAACATTCACTCTTGTGACTGAACAACAGGTCTGAATCTTAATATGAGGTTTTTCTTCCCTTGAAAACAAACACAGAGTTACACAGAGAGAGCAAAACAGTTTGCTCCAAAGTTTGCTTCAATATTCTTCTATAAAATCGTTATTTAGTGTGATTTTGCTGGCAATAAATTGGACAGAAAAAACAATTTGCTTGTACCTGTGATAAGTTTTGAGAGACTCAGGACAAGCAGTAAGTTTGGGGAAGCTGCCACACTTCTGGGAGGCACCTAGGAGAAAAATCACTTGGGTTTGAATAAAATCTAATCATTTTTGGTTTCGGCTAGCACTTCTTGTAAAGTTCTGGCACTCTAATTAAATTTCTGAGCTCTCATCATGGACCAATCCCTGGTGGGCACTAGGGGAACGGAAGGGTGGGACACACATGAGCCAGATACTGCCTGTTTCCCAGCTGCTTGCAGCCTGGTGGGCAGGTGGACAGGTGCGCCAGGATGGATGAGTGTGGGATGCTGGAGGGGTTGTCAGCACCAAGGGCGGGAGGGTGCCATCAGCAAGGAAAGTGGTTACTGTGACCCTGGTGGCAGTGTAGGCCATCACTACTGCCTACTGCTACCAAAGCACTTCTAACCGAAGTTAAACAATGGCCAGTTTGTGGTGGAGGCACAGGGCTGAAGAGTTAGTTGCAGACGTAGCCAGTTAGTGAGCAAATGAGCTAGCCTCGGACCCCTGGTTTCCAGGTCGGGGGTTTTATAGACTCTGGGAGGATTCTCATGTTAACTATAAGAGGTGCCACGGATGTCACATTGTGACTTCTTGTGGGAAAATTCCAATGGATTCAGGCAAGCTTCAAAGAAAAGCTAATTTTAGAGGGATCCTTTCAAGAGGCTGACTTATTTCCAGAGAAGAGCTTTGCTTTAATGTAATGTTTTTAATGTGCTGTTTCAGTAGCATCCACCTTTTGTCTGAAGGTGGTGAGTTATCTGAGTGCTGTGTACCAGGCACTGTTCTGGGCCTTTGCCCGTTGTCCCACACAGCTTTACCTAGCGTCCTCTCGGTTTGCAGGGTTCAGAGAACCAGGCTCGGTTTAAAGTAACTCATCACACACTGGGAAGCAGGCTAGCCTTCTCTGACTCCAGGCCTCCCACCTGCTTCAAGATCAGTGTCACACTTGGAATAGTTTGTGTTGCCTAATTGTGTCCATCACTTGTAACTTGAGTCACAAGTCATTTGTTAAAGAACTGAGGCTGAGCTGTTCTCTGGAACACAGGGAGGCAGCCTGTCGGGTTTCCCCCGCCTGACAAAAAACCTCCCTTAAAAAAAAAAAAAGAATTGAGGCTTGTGAATGGTGTGCATCTGTTTGTACAGGCCCATGGCTAATATAATTCTATATTCTGAAGGCCGTTCTTTAATGGGAGAAGAAATAGAACAGTGCGCACGACCTTGGGTGGGCCATGGGAGAGCATCTGTCACTCTGGAGTGAAGCCTGACAAACATCGCTGTTTCTCCTGTCCCATGTGGTTGTCTGCTTTTCCTCCTTTTCTCCCTGCGACAGAGGCACAATGACAACCATAGGCCTCATTAACCTGGAAAGGGATGGTTATGGGTAAGGAGTGTTGGTTCCTTTGTATCCAGAAAGCATTCAGGAGCACACACATGCTTGAACAGAGTTGGGTTTATTGGCCCATTGAGTGAGAGAATTCACTTGCTGTGTGTAGTGGCTGGTGTCTCAAGGGTGTCACCTTCCTTGGGCTCAAGGAACTGGATGTTGTCGGAAAGCTAGATTGTTGTGGGACTGTCTCTAATATTTTTTTTAAGATTTATTTTTTATTTAATTGAAAGGCAGAGTTAGAGAGAGAGAGAGAGCACTTCCATCCACTGATTCATTCCCCAAGTACCTGCAGTGGATCTGTCTGGGCCAGGCTGAAGCCAGGAACATGGAGCTTCTTCCAGGTCTCCCATGTGAGTGCAGGGGCCCAAGCGCTTGGGCCATCTTCCACTGCTTTCCCAGGCTTATTAACAGGGAGCTGGATCGGAAGTGGAGCAGCTGGGTCTCCAACCAGCACCCATATGGGTTGCCAGTGACACAGGCAGGGGCTTAACCCACTATGCCACAACACCAGCCCTGTCTTAATAATTCTTAGCTAGAAGGTAAGAAGATGGAGGAAGGTTGGAGCCGGCAATGATAAAGCAGCAGCAGGTGCTCCCTAGCCAGGATGGATGTTTGGTCACTTCTGTGACTTGGACAGTGTTCAGGTTTTGTCCGTGTTGAGATGATTTGGTTGTAGCCTTGTTTTCGTCTTCATCCACCATGGGCTCAGAATGGCTTTGTCTGATGTTGATGTTCTGTGAAATGGTGTGGGTGGGTGCCGGGCCTGACTGGTAGAGCCAGGCCAGTCCCTGGCTGTCGGGCAGGATCTCTCTTTCTCGGGATCCAGAGGTCCTGAGCATCCCATAATCAGCCCTTCAAGCTCCCCTTGTTTAATTGTATGTAGCACTCACTGTGCTGGGCAGTGGGGTGGAGGAGTTGGGCTGCAGATACCCTGTGGTGTGGCTCCAGCCCTGAACTCATTGGCACCATGACAGTCACTTCTCGTGACTTCTCAGATGCCTGACTGCTCACTTCCTGTCACACCTAGCAGCTCATGCAGACGGATTTAGGATTGCATCAGCCTTCACTCTCCACTAACCCAGCAATCAGATGGTGTTTTTGACAGAGGTTCAGTGCCTTTGCGTTTTTAGTAACTGGGTTGTGTTGCAGGGCAGCAAAACACTCCAATATAGTCTAGCATTCAAATGTGCCCCAGGCAGCCTCAGAAGGTAAACATCTAGTGGGTCTTTGGGGTGGGGGGAGTGTGATAGTTCCTGAGGGCAGTGAGGTAGAGACAGTTCAGAGGGAAGAAAAGGTCTTCCCTGGCAAGGCAACTCCAGTGTTGTGTGCAGGTGCATGGTGCAGGCCGATGGACAGAATAAATCCGTGTTGAAACCTGATTCTGCTATCACCGACGACCACCTCTGCTCAGCAGCAAGGTGGGAGAGGAGGAGCTCTGTCTCAGAGAACTGAAGTCTCAGCCCCGTGGAGTAAGACCCCTGCCCGTCCCGCGGATGACAGCACTCCATTTTGATGGCGTTCCAGAGTTTCAGATCAGAGAGTTGTGCTCACCTTCATCTTATTTCATTAGCTGTCCTCAGTGGAAGGCAAGCCCCGGCTGCAGTCACTGATGGCTTCAGAAGCCTCAGCCCCTGTTCCTCTGTGCCAAGGGTGCTTCTCCTGTTCCTTTGTGAACCTTTGAGAAGCACTCACAAAGTGAGAGCCCGCAGCTGTTGGCACCAGCTCAAATACGGTCAAGAACAGCACTCCTTAGAGGAGTGTGAGCCTTATGTGTGATTTTACGTGTTCTAGTCACCACACTCAGAAGGTAAAAAGAAACAAGTAAACTTAACTCCAGATAGCTAAAATACTGCTATTTTAATACACAATCAGTATTTTACATTTTTTGGTATTGTCTTGAGAATGCTGTGTGTATTTCACTTGAGATGTCTCACTGGACCAGCCCCATTCAAGGGCTCAACAGCAACCTGGTGAGTGACTGCAGTACTGGACATCACAGAACCAGAATTCAAGGCCAATCCTGGCATGGCCCTTGTTCTGGCTTATTTAAAGCTCCTCTGATTTCTTGGAGTAAGCCTGGGGGTTCTCCTGTGGTCTTAAGATGTCTTCACAGGTGGGCACCGCCCACAGCAGCCCACAACTACAGAGGTGGCTGCGGCTTGCTCGCTCCCCGGAAGCTGCCCCTTCCCTGGGGTCATCATGGACAGTAAGATGGCGTCTGCCAGCCGGGTCATTCAGGTAGTCAAACCACATACCCCATCAATAAGGTTCCCTGCCAGAAGAGACGATCCTAAACCCAATGTGTCTGAAGTTTGAGATCAGCTGGACTGCCGTGTCACTCTTCTGCAGTTGCACAGCAGGCTAAGGAAGTAGACCACCAGATTTGCTGATGGATCAGGGGCTACCGGACACTGCCGAAATCATTAAATCACTGCCTCAGAAGTACAGAAGGAAACCTGTACCTCAAGAAGAAATGGAATTTGTCCAACGTGGAGGTCCCGAGTAACCGCTGCTCGTCATCAGACAGA